AAAGCAAAAGTCTCATGTTTTAAGGGACGGAGGGAGTATTTTTTAGTAATTAGAAAATAAAATAAAATATATATAATAAAATAAATAAGCAAATAAATAAAGGTGACAAGATAAGAGTGAAAAGAAGAAAATAAAGGGAATTCAAAGAATGGAAAACTATCCTGCAATCACGCATGTGAAGGAGGCCCACTTCCTTACTTTCTTGTTTGAAAGGAATTGATTTATCCCTTATATCTCTTATCTTATGGTACGAAGTATATTTGCTTGTTTATTTTATTCTTGTATGTGTGTTTCTTAATATACTCCCTTCGTCCCTAAAAAAGATTACAATTTTTTTTCTCTTCTCTCGATAACTTTTGTTTGTTTTTGTGATTTCATTAAGTATTTGATAAAATAAAATGTTCTTGTCACCTCTTGTTTTGTAGAACTTTTGACGTAGTTTTTTAATATGTAATTTTTATATCTTATTGATATACCAATTTGTGAATAAAATGATTTAAAAAAGTAGAAAATTTTACTCCGTAACCCGCAATTTGTAATCAAATTGGGGACGGAGGGAGTATAAAGGAAGCAACACTCCCTTCTAAAAAATGTGAGTCTAGACGTGTAGCACTAGCCATAGGGTGAGTTGTTTGTGGAGAGAATATCAATTGTTGTTTTGGTGTTGTGTTTGTTGTACTCTAATTGATATTATAGTGAAAAGTTTAATCCAAAAAGATCGTGGTTTTTTCCTTAATTGAGAGGGGTTCCACTTAAAAAATATTGTGTCTTGCTCTTTTAATTTTCATGCACATATTTTATTGCTTCCATAATATTTTGAGTGGTGTGTTGTTATTTGAGAGGGTAATTTTTCTCAACACTACTTGTAGTTTGCAGGAGTTTTTTTACCAAGACCAAGCTTAAGGTACCAACACCTCCAATCTTTTGTTGGAAACAAAGCCAATGCAAGAGACTGCTAGCTAGAGAAAGCTGTCCGGGACCACACTGCTTTTCTCGCATCAGCTAATGTAATGGATTACTCTCTACTTGTCGGGGTTGATGAAGATCAGAGAAGCATGAATTGGTCCTCGAAATCATTAACTTCATGAGACAATACACACGAGACAAACATCAAGAAACTTAGGTTAAAGCTTCACGCGAGATGTAAAAATTTAGCGTAAAACTGATCTGCCTTTCCATTGAACGTAAAGTAATATATATACAAGTACATACTGGGCTGGACTATACAAGGCCCAAACTATGCTAATAACCCAAAAATAACCGCTTACTCTAACACTCACCCTCAAGTTGGCGCATGAATATCATAAATGCCCAACTTGCACAACAAAAAATCAAATACAGGTTTTGACAAAGATTTTGTAAAAATATCTGCTAACTGATAGCGTGTAGGAACATATCGCGTAGACACTTCATGCCGCTGCACAGATTCACGAATCGTGTGACAATCAACATCAATATGCTTCATACGTTCATGAAACACGGGATTTGCTGCTATGTATAATGCTGATTGGTTGTCACAATACAACCGCGGCGGATAAAGAATAGGGACATCGAGGGCCTGGAGAATGCCACACATCCAACGAATTTCCACACATGCATTCGCCATGGCTCTGTATTCAGCTTCAGCTAATGAACGTGCAACAGTAGGTTGCTTTTTGGTCTTCTAGGAAACAGGTGAATTACCCAGCATAATAAAATAACCGCTTACAAACCGCCGAGAGACCGGACAACTTGCCCAGTCAGAGTCACAATAAGCAGAGATCTGAAGATTACTAGTAGCACTTAGAAAAAGACCCTGACCAGGATGGCCCTTGATGTACCGTAGGACACGCATTGCAGCATTCATGTGGTCCATGGTGGGTGCCTGCATAAACTGAGATAAAACATGAACTGCATAACATATATCCGGGCGTGTAATCGTCAGATAAATCAGACGCCCAACAAGCCGCCGAAACCGTGTGGGATCGTGGAGCAAGGGAGCCACGAACGTACCCAAGCCGTGGGTAGTAGGGAGTGGTGTAGATGCAGGTTTACACCCTAGCAAACCGGCTTCATGCAAAATATCCATGGCATACTTCCGCTGACATAACACCATCCTAGAAGGGGATCGAGCACACTCAATGCCCAAAAAATAGTTCACTGGGCCCAAATCTTTAAGCTGAAAACAACGGTCGAGGTATCGTTTGAACGAAGAACACATAGAAGCATTATTACCAGCAACCAATATATCATCAACGTAAACCAAGACCGTGAGAATATCCGACCCACGACAAAGAATAAACAGAGTGTGATCTTTATGGGCTTGCTTGAAACCCCATTGGCGAAGTGCAGCACTGAGTTTATGAAACCAAATCTGAGGAGACTGACGTAACCCATACAGAGATTTGCGTAAACGGCACACTTTCCCAGGAATAGAAAACCCGGGAGGCATGCGCATATAAACCTCTTCAATTAAATCACCAAGCATTATTCACATCAAGTTGGTGTATCTCCCAACCTTTAGCAACAGCCACGGATAAGAGTACGTACCGTACCCAGTTTGGCGACAGGAGCAAATGTATCGGTATAATCTGTACCAAATTCCTGGTGGTTACCTAAGACAACCAGGCGTGCCTTATCCCGTTCTTTTGTGCCATCAGATCGAAATTTGGTACGATAGACCCACTGACAACCCAAAGCTTTTCGATCAAGAGGAAGATCAGTGACCTCCCAAGTATGATTTTTCTCCAACGCATCAATCTCTTGTTGCATGGCTAGACGCCAATTTGCCTACTTGAAATTTCGTGGCACCTCAGTAGTGGAAATGGCTGCCAAATAACCCTTGTACCTGTCATGTAATTTTCCATAATGAACAAAATTATGTATAGGATACCGGGTACCTGAAGAACGCAAAGAGGAAACGGAAGTAGCAACGGGAGTCACGGTCCGAGCTGTATGGCAGTAGTAATCAGAGAGGTGGGGAGGGGGTCGGCGTTCGCGGACACGGGGTAAGGGTGGAGGAGAGGATGGTGGCGACGGTGGACTATCCGGGCCGGCAGACTCACCGTCGCTGGAGCTATGATCGTGGGGTTGCCCGGAGGGGATTTCCGGGGTTGGGGTTTCGGCAGTGACTGGAACGGCAGAGGGCAGAGAGTCAGTGGCAGAAGGAATAGGGTCGCCATCAACAAATGGAGGATCATCATGACTTTGAGGGGTTTTTGGCTGTGTAACGGAGAATGGAAAAATGGTTTCATCGAAGGAAATATCTTGCGTATGGAAAAAGCGATGAGTTTCGAGATCATAGACTCTCCAACCCTTTGTCCCAGTAGGATATCCCACGAACATGCATTTTACACTCCGGGGATTGAATTTGTTGGGTGGGCGTTGGTTGTGTCGGACGAAACAAAGACAACCAAATACTCGAAGATGAGACAAATCTGGAGGTTGTGAAGAAAGGAGTTCATACGGGGATTTTCCGTGTAAAAGGGGAGTTGGAGTTCGATTGATTAAGTACACAGCAGTTTGGACACATTCACCCCAAAATTCAATAGGAAGAGACGCTTGAAACATAAGAGAGCGAGCAACATTAAGGATATGACGATGTTTACGCTCGACGCAACCATTTTGTTGTGGGGTATTGACACAAGATGTTTGAATAAGAACACCCATAGTATTATAAAACTGACGCAAGGGTTTATTCAGAAACTCAGTACCATTGTCAGAACGAACAATTATAATAACTTTGTCGTACTGAGTTCGAATCAAGGCAAAGAATTGTTTTAGGCAACTTGTCACCTCAGTTTTATCAATAATGAGAAAAACCCAAACTGCTCGAGAATAATCATCAACAATAGTGAGAAAATAATGAGCCCTAGTAGATATGCACGGGGAATAAGGACCCTATAAATCACAATGAATTAAATCAAACAATTGCTGTGCTTTATTAATACTTGGAGAAAAAGGAGAACGAGTTTGTTTGGAGAAAAAACAAATATCACAAGACTGAAACTTTTTAATTTCAGTACTACTTTTATTGAACGGGGGTAAAGACAAAACTTGGGGAGACGGATGACCGAGCCGTTGATGCAACAAAGAGACGGACTCGGCCTTGGACGCACAAGCTAAAGAAGGAAAGACATAGACTCCATTGCGTGCTTCACATTGTCCAATCTGCGTCCTCGTAGTGCGGTCCTGTATTACACAAAATTTGTCATTAAAAAATTTGTCATTAAAATTTGTGCAGGGTCAAGGAGGGAGACACTTGCACACTACCACACGAAGTAGAAACAACGTGTGCGCCATCGGGCAAAGTGATAGTGCATGGAGTCATGGATACCACATTAGATAAATAAGAAAGGACCCCGGTCATGTGGTGAGAGGCACCACTATCAATCAACCATTCGCACGACAATGAGAGAGACATACCTTGCAATTTGTCAGAAACGGAGGGAGCAGAGTCAATCATGGAGAAGAGGCGTGCAACCTGATCGGATGAAAGGGAGGATAAGGACGGTGGTACCTCGGCCGCTGCATTGGCCGTAGGTCCGGCAGTAGCAACTTGCTGTCCCAAGGCAGTGGTGGGTTGTGGATCGGCTGATCTCCCGCCGCGTTGCCCACGACCTCCCCCTCGCTGAGAAGAATTCCGGCCACGCCCTCGTCCCGAGTTGGGAAATCCAACGATCAAATAACATTGATCAACGGTATGTCCTTGTTTGCCGCAATGAGTGCATTGGTAGGTATTGTTTGGTATATGAGGAGCGGCGAACGCCATGGCGTCCGTGTGATCATCACGTGCACGCACGACATTACGGTGACGTTCTTCTTGAGATGCCAAATAGAAAGCCTTGTTTAAATCCGCAGGCGGTGCTCCAAGTATTTGTCCTCGAATGGCTCCAAATTGTTCATCATCAAGTTCTAACAGAAACTTCCGAACTTTAGCTTTTTCACTTGCTGCCCGTAACTTTGCCGCTGCCTCACAAGTACAGCCGTAGGTGGGGTCTTCAGCACCATAAAGCTTGCTCTAGAGAGTCACAAATTGATTATAATATGCCACCACGGTTTGCCCTTTTTGTCTCAAATTATGCAATTCGTTTTCCAATTGATAGATTCGAGGCTCGTTGATGGTACTATAACATGACTTCAAATCTGCCCATAATTCATGAACCACGGTATGGGAAGCAATACTTGGTTGGATTGTTTCATCAACACTATTAAAAATCCAACTGCAAATTGTAGAATTATTTGCCTCCCATGCTTCTAATTCCAATGGATTAGTGGGTTTTGGCAAGCCGGTGGCAGTCAAAAACGCTGCCTAACTTCGGCCCTTCAATGCATTAAAAATCATCTTTTCCCAAGTATCAAAATTGTCACCCTTCAATATATGTTTTGTCAAAGTATTACCTGGCCCCTCGGAAGAATGAAGGTAATATTCGGAAGAGGAGTCATGGATCAAACGTGTCTTTTTAGTTGTAGAAGACATGGTAAAAGAAAATCCTGGTGCCGTGTCCGATCGCCGAGCAGAGACGGAAAAACAGAACCAAACTAGATGCCTGGTGTTTGATTTCAATATGCCAAGTCAGCCCCAAAACAAAGAGAAACAAGTGCTTGATCAAAAGTGCTTGATTTCAATTCAACGCACGATGACAAGCCAATCAATCGGCAAAAATTCTTTTACGGCGTCGAACTGTAACTCGCACAAACCCTAGGTTTTGGCTCCGATACCATGTAAAAATTTAGCGTAAAACTGAACTGATCTGCCTTTCCATTAAACGTAAAGTAATATATATACAAGTACATACCGGGCTGGACTATACAAGGCCCAAACTATGTTAATAACCCAAAAATAACCGCTCACTCTAACATGAGACAAGTCATTTTGATGCTTTATATTTATAAATGGTGTTGGTTTTTAGTTTTAGGGCTGGGTGTTGCTTTCTAAATGGGATTGGCTTGTTTAGAATGGAATTTGTTCAAGTTAGCCTTTTCCTTGGGTTGGGTACCTCCTCTTTTTGCATATATTCTCCTTAATCTCTTTTAATAATAAACTTTAAAAATATATATAGTTGATTGTATATTTTTAATAAATGTGAGGAATGTTAAATACTATTAATTGTATTTATGGTTGAAATTTTCTTCCTAAAAAGATCACTTTGAAGAAGGTCAAAATTCTCTCAAAATGTTTTAATGAGAGTTATTCTTATTTTAACTATAGGTTGTACTCAAATTTAATATAGAATATTATTTTTCAAATAGTGGAATTCGGTAAAAATATAAAAAACAAAAGTATTTAAATTATAATATGGTTTAAAATAATCGGGAGATGACTTTGAAATCGGCTAAAAGGCCATCAGTGAAAAATTGATGCAAGTTTGGGTATATATGTGATAGGAAATAAAATTTACGTATTGAACTAAAATTACGTTAAAAGTTTGTGTGCTATTCATAAAAGCCTTACGCTATACAAAAAAATGATTGACGCGGGTGCCTTTCTTACAAATGTTTTTTAGTTTCGTGTGAAATATTTATCATACTATTATTGACACGTAGTTATCTTAACATAGTCTGTACTGCTCTAACCAAACAGAGTATAGTCACAATAGTATCATTCGGGTCGGTCCGGCCTTTGGGCTTGATCGTAAAACCCAAGCCCGACCCTAAAGTACACATGCCGCTGTTTCTAAGCCCGAGTTCGGACAGTACCCTAAAATGTCAAGCCCAAATCCATTATTTTGCGAAAGGCTGGATATCGGGCTTGTGACCAGGTCTATTGATTGTACAACCGCCGGAAGCATAAGCAAAGATGCCAACAAGCTCGGGATTCCATGTGACAAAGTATATACACTCAGAGTTTAATGGCGAAAATGGACAATGGCACGAAGCTCTGATATATGTATATATACACTAATCTAGAAAGAGAAGTGATTGCAGTCAGTTGCTCTAATGTAGCCCCACCACGTCACTAGTCCCAACATATTTTTTCTATTTAACTTTTTAAATCAAACTAGACAAATTTTAAATCTCAATTGAATGGGTAAAGATTTTATAAGGTTCCTATATTTTTTCAAAAGTGTTATCCAAGCCCCCGATTTATTATAATTTATAAGTGTTTATTAGGTTTGTTTATTTTTTATGTACTTCCCAAATCCCTCCAATATTTAATAGGTTTATTAGACTCTTCTATTTTTTGAAAGTGCTTACCAAGTCCCTGAATTATTTAAAGTGTTTATTACGTTCTTATGAAAAACAGATCACCCTAAATAGAACTAAAACATAGAGAAAATACCAAAATAGGAGTTCCATATTTTTATTCCCTAAATAGGAGTTCGCATTGTGATAATGTGGCACTGTACATGTGCACTTTTCATAATGTACATGCTCATGATTGCTAATGTAAATGCATTTTAACTCCTATTTTGGAAATAAAAACATGGAACTCCTATTTTGGTATATTTTTAAATGTTTTACTCCTACTTTAGTCTTTTTTCTCATATATATTTGATTGTGAAAGTACCTAATAAGTTCTTAAAATTTTTATAGTGCTTATCAAATCCGTATACATTTCAACTAGGGTGTTAGTGGTCGTTTCAGCAGTTTTTTTTCTGACCAAGTCTCTTGAAATTAGTTATACCCTAAATTTTTATTCAAATTGTGCGGGACTTAGTCTGAAAAACACTACCAACACTACCGAAGGAACTACTAACACGCCAGGTAGAAAGTGTTTGAACCTGATAAGCGCTAAATATAATTCAGAGACCTGTAAAGCACTTTCAAAAATTTATAAGGACCTAGCAAACATTTAAAATAATTTGAGAACTTCGAAAGAAATTATATATGTGTGTGTGTGTGTCTATATATATATATATATATATATATATATATATATATATATATATATATATATATAAAACGAAACAAATGCACAATTGACTCAGAGTCAATGCCATAGTAATGAGGCCATGTCCATAGACAGATGCAAAAGAAATGGAGAAGAAAGATTACAAGAACGAACGTATTTATATAAAGTTATTATCACTACTTCTTACTGCTGTTCTTGGCCGTGCCCTTGTTCTCCTTACTCCCACCCGCTGCCTCGGCTTGTGCCGCTTTCTTTGCTGCCTTTTCTTGAAGAGCTTTTCCATCCCTCTCACGGCGTTGTTCAGGAGTCAGGCCATCATCCTTATTCTTGCTGTTCTTGGATCCATTCCTAGCCTGAGCTCTTTCTCTATCTTTCTCCCTCTGGTTTCCGAGAGTCATTGCCGAGTAACCACAGAGAAGAAGAAAACCCCTACGAGAAAGAGACGACGGTCTATGGATGAACGAATACTATATATATATATATATATATATATATATATATATATATATAGACGTTTTTTTAAAAGTGACCCACCATTGTAGAAGGTAATCCCTTAGCTCTGTTTCTTGATTCCAAACTGGTCCTCCGATGTAGTCCGCAAAGGCTTTCCAGATGCTTTGTGCCATCTCACAGGTGAGTAGCGTGTGTTTATTAGTAGCTTCAGCCTTGCCACATAATAAGCACTTCCTAGGCAGGTTAAAATTCAGTTTGTTGAGAATATTGGGAAAATGGAGAAATTGGTTCACAGCTTTCCAAATGAAAAGCTTAACCTTAGGAATCTGTAGTCCGCAAAGCTTTTATATATATATATATATATATATATATATATATATATATATATATATATATATATATATATATATACTCCCTCTGTCCATAAATAAAATTCTCACTTTTCTTTTTCATCCGTCCAAAAATAATCTTCCCATTTCTATTTTTGGAAAGTTTTTCATACCTAAAAGTCTAAATTACCCTGCCCACCCAATCCCTATCTTTTCTTTTTCTTTTCCCTTTCCCCATTTCCCCATCCATTTCATTTCCCACCCCACCTTTTTTTCTCTCTCTTTTCTCTCTTCTTCTTCTCTCTTTTCTTATCTTCTTCTTCGTTCTTCTTCTTTTTGTTCTTTCTTCTCTTTTCCACTTCTGATTTTTTCCTGTAAAGTGAGAGCAATGAAGCAGCAATCGGGTAAAGGTCGGGCAGCGAGGCGGTGGTGGTGGTCGGAGGTGATAGGGCGGTCCGATCTCCTCCTCCTCCTCCTCTTCTTCTTCAATTCCATGGTCCAATGCCCAATCCATCTTCAACTCTTCTCCTTTTCTTCTTTCTTGTCCATCTCCGTCAGATCTGAATTTTGATTCAGATAGCGTCGCCAAAGAAATCGACGGTGCTGGCGGAGATTAGGTACCGATTGATGATGGTGTTTTGGACCGGAGGAAAGGAGCCCCAGATTTCTTTCTTCTTCGTCTTTTTTTTTTGAAATTGAAGGCGGTGGCAGTGGCGGCAGTCGGAGTTGACGTGGTAGACATCAAGGTGGCTGTCAATGATAATGGCGAAGCAGGGAGGATGGCATCCGATTGCATACAGAGAACAATGGGTGGCCAAGAAGAGAAGGGAAGGGATAAGTGATGGAGGAGTATTTTTGGAAAGTCAAAGTAAATTTCATGTTTTATTAAACTCCGTGCCAAGTCAAAGTGAGAACTTTAATCTTGGACGGAGGGAGTATATATACACATACATACATACATACATACATACATACTCCTTCTGTCTCTAAAAACATAGGAGGTTTTGATTTTTAATAGATTTAAAGGGAGTGTATTTTGGTGTTGAGTTACTAAAAAAGTCTTTGGATGTAATGAATTAAAATAAGATTTGATGGATTGATAAATTAATACTTCCTTTGTTCTCCAAAATACTTTCTTTTTCATTTCTTTGTCTTTAACCCAAACACTTCCACTTTCTATAAAAAACTTACTTTTGACCATACTTTTACTTAACCGACCTATCACGTCATACTTTTTCTCTAATAATTTATCTATCAATCCTCAAGGGCAAAATTGGAAGTTAACTAAAATTTAACACTTCCTTCTTTTGGCACTAGGTCAAAATAGGAAGTGTGTTTCAAAACGAAGGGAGTAATGAATAAATGTGATGTGATAGCTATGTTAAGATTAATAACTATAATAAGGGTAAAAATTAGTTTTTAATGAAAATGAAAATAATTTTTTAAGACGGATGAAAAAAAAGAGAGAAGGATTTTCAGGGGAAGGGAGTAGATCTCTTGTAAACACTTTACCCCATTAAATACGTACCACGGAGTATAAAGTGTAAATGTGTAATGTACTTTATATATTTTGTGTACTCATTGATCTCATAATGCATCATGACTTGACTTTAGGATATATTGACTAATGGTAAGTTAGACATATGATCGGGCATTCGGACATATCAGTTGATTCAGTTCTACTATTCTACTACTTAATAAATACTCCCTATTCTATGTATACAACTATACATCTTGCTAAATAAGTAATACACCCTACGTATAAGCACATCCTTCACAAAACAAAAAAAAAATGGGGGGAGCAAAGGTGGCTGTTCTGGTGCTTCTGGCGGTGTTGTCAGTATCACCGGCGGCAGGAAGAATGTGGAAAACCACCGCGCCAGTTTCTTCTTCTTCTTCCTCTTCTTCTTCTGGGTCTTCTATTGTCCTCCCACTGCTAGGCAATGTTCATCCCAAAGGGTAATACTACTCCGTCTCTAAGTATTTGTGTAGCTTTGACTCTTTAATTGCAATCAACAACATTTAACCTTTTGGTTATAATTAAATAAAATATATATTGTATATATTAATTAGATGAATTAATATTTTGAAAATATTGTATAGAATGAATCTAATTAAATTATTTTCTGTAACAAGATCTAATGTCATTTTTATTTAATTTGTGGTCAAAAATTGCTAGAAAAATTTAAAATTGAACAAGTACTACTATTTAATGAAACAAAAATCAAGTTGTATTCATCATCATCATCAGTTGATTATTGGGGTTAAAATGTGTATTGCACAGCTATTATTATGCTCAAGTCTACATAGGGAAGCCACCAAAGCCCTATTTTCTTGATCCCGACACTGGCAGTGATCTCACCTGGCTTCAGTGTGATGCTCCCTGCACAAGTTGCTTGGAGGTAACTAATTCTTTTTTATCACTCCTTCCTTAGCTTATATCACAACCTTACCGAGTGTATTTTATTTTACTCATCACATCTAAGTTTATTTAAGACAAGTAAATAGAACAGCATCTCCTCTTAAAATTTATTGAGAGTCAAAATAGAAAATGTTTTTAAAAAAAGTATTCAAAAATGGAATAAAATATACTCCCTAGCTATTATCCTCGAGATAATAATTTGCACCGCTACAATATGTAGCACTGTATATTAGCATTACACAATATTTTTTGGTCTAATATGTTAAAATTAGTGGCATTGATACGATATCGTATTGGGATAGGGAAGAATTTCAAGCACCTTCGAGCTCCAAGAACAAAAGAGGTGAGAAAGAGAGATTAAGATTTAGTAGAAAGTATTTTCTTTATTCATTCATTGATAATACTATGGTGATGGATAGTAAATATCCGAGGTTGAGATCTCTTAGAGTTATTATTTACCATTGATTTATTTAATTCTTAGGATTAATATTTTCCATTGATTTATTTGATCCTTTGATTTATTAGTGGATTGTTTATATAATAAGGGATTGTTATTTATTGATTGATATTTATTAAGGAATGGTATTATTATTATTATTATTATTATATAATAATAAAAATAAAAATAAAAATAATAATAATAATAATAATAATAATAATAGTAATAATAATAATAATAATAATAAGTCCCGTAACACTCCTCACGCCTCGAAAACCAACTTGTCCTCAAGTTGGAAATCAAATAATGAACGGGAAAAAATTGCACCGTTCATCGTCTATCCTCCGGGGTCAAACACCTTGATCCTTGGAGCACCAAAAGAACGAGTCACGCCTAAAACATTCCCAGTGTCAAGTAAACAGTTCCGGGCAACCAAGAGTAGGAATATTATGCAATCACGTGCAACATCCTCGGAATTATAAAGGACAACAACGTCACTTCCTGACCTCCCAAAAGTTTCCGTGCATCCATAAAAAATGACACCATCTCTTGAATATTTTTCTTGGAGTGTGTGGTTTCGTTGATCGTCACCAGAAACAGCAACAACAATATCAGCAACGGTAATAGGAACAACATCTATGTGATCAATAATAAGATCATCATCAGGAACACCAACAGGATCAATAAAAATTTCCTTTTCAAATTCCTGGTCTTGTAAAGTTGTGTTCTGCACAGGTACTGCAGGGGCCGGATCTCGTGGAGTGCCGATGAGTTTCTTTATAAAGCGCATCATGGTTGTTTTGAAAATGTATAACTCTATAGGAATCAGGCTCGGCATAATTGGGAGACCACGAACTAAATTCTGTATTGAGCAAAAGGCCTCTACGGAGAACGCATATACCTCGGAATCAAATTTTGGTTGACTTTCAATTGGACGGAATGCCTGAAGTTTCTTTATAATTTCATCAACGGAATCTTCAACTGCACACACGCCTTCATAAAATTCAATTTGTCCCCGTAGAACTTTCTCGAGTAAACCAAGAACTTTGTCCAACAGAGAATCCATTGCGTGTGCCGTAGATTTTTTTTTTGTATTTTTTGGGCGAGTTCAAGAATGAAAGCACCAATTGATACGGTATCGTATCGGGATATGGAAGAATTTCGAGCACCTTCGAGCTCCAAGAACAAAAGAGGTGAGAAAGAGAGAGATTAAGATTTAGTAGAAAGTATTTTCTTTATTCATTCATTGATAATACTATGGTGATGGATACATTTATAGGCTCCAACTTTAGAGAATCTCAATAATAAATGGTAACTAAATAAATTAAGAATCCTAATTATAAAAGGTAACTAAATAAACTAGGAAACTAAATAATCACCTAACAAATATATTATTCCCTAACAATAAATAACTAACTATAAATAATTCCTTACCATAATAATAATAATAATAATAATAATAATAATAATAGTAATAATAATAATAATAAGTCCCGTAACAGGCATGGAAACTTTTTATTTCAAATATAGAAATACAAAGATTCTATTTTGATACTTTTCTAGGTTTTACTAGTATAATTTTTTGTTCATATTTTTTAGAACGGACGGAGTATGTTATAATATAGTCAAAATTCAAAAATACTAAAAAGAAAAATTTTACAAAGTAGAGTTTGTTTTCTTCGTTTGACATGATTGAACCTGATCTGATTTTGTTAAGGTGTGATCTAATATGGTCTAAGCTAATCTGATCTCATTTGATATTAATATTATTGAGTTATTAATAAAGATGTTTTTGATGTGGTCAGATATCAGCTATATCCAATAAGAATAAGTAATATTCCCTCTTTCTCAAATTAAATTACAAAATCTAAAAAACACCCAAAATCATCTGTTTTTCAAATTTAATTTATTTACAAATTGGTACAGAAATAAAAAAAATTAACTTACATATTTGAAAACTATATCAAATGTTCAACACAAGATAAGTAGTGAAAAAATGTTTTGTTTTATCGAATGGTCATTAAAAACATAGAAAAACATAACAACAAAAATTATAATAATAATAATTAATTACTCCGTATTATAATATCAATATAATACTAATGAAGAAAACTTCTCTTATAAGAAGGCATCGATACCTTTCTACTATTTTCCTAAGATGTGGACTAATGATTATTGTCGAATACTTATGACTAATTATCCCATTTATCTTTTACAAAGTTATTATACTTCCACTTTTCCTTTATAATCTAAGCTTAATTTTCCCCAAAACTCCTTTTTTCTTTCTTCTTTTTTGAATTTTTTGTTTTTATTTCATTAATCAAGTGTCAAACAGTCAATGCCATATTAGAAATTTGATTTATTTATTTTTTTAATTTTCTTCCCTCTCCTATTTTGGCATACGAAATGTTTTTTTAACTTCTTTCTCAAAAACTAAAAGGTACCTTCATCAGATTTTTTACTTGATCAATTTCAGTTTAATGCATTTTACTAAAATTACTTTTAATTCAATTTATTTGAGAATCAACGTAAAATTCAAAAAATTATACTCAGTATATGCATAGAGTATATCAAAATACCTACAAAACAATAAATATATAACTCAATATTTTAAATCTAATCTAATGAGTAACAAAAAACCAATACACCTACATCTATTCTTATTACTTGATCAATTTCAGTGTACGATGTTTTAAAAATATTATTTTCAGATCCATTTATTTAGAAACTACCGTACGTAAATTTAAAAAATAATTTAAATATGCATAAGATATACTTCGGAGTATAAAACGTTACCAAACAATAGACACATAACTACGGAGTATGTTTTTTTAATTAATCAACTATGCTAGGAGTACACCAAAAGTGTACCCCAAATTGTACTCCAAATAAATTCACTGACATTTTAACGTTTCACACGGGCAGAAAATGCTGGTTCAATTAAAAAAAATGTACTAATATTTTTTAGCCAATGTAAATCATCATATAACATAACACTAACACAAAATGTTGGTGCATGTCTTTGGGTACAAAATGGAGTACAAATTTTTGTGTACAAATAGCTTAATCCTTTTTTCAATAAAAAATGATAGGGATACACCAAATATTGTATCCAATTTGTACCTCACCCCATCATATCCCCACCATACAAAAGCAAGATGGAAAAAATAAAAATAAAAAAAGAAATGGAGGGTGGAGATGCATGGTGTATTGATTTTTTGTTACTCATTAGATTAGATTAGTAACAAAAATTAGTACTCCCTCCGTCCCGCTATATTCGTCCACTTTTGACTTTTTGAACTGTTCATCTAAGTACTTTGACTCATCAAATTCTCTCAATGTGTAAGCCTAAATATAGTCATGCGTGATCTTGTTTAATTTGTCTTAACATATAGATTATTAATATATAATTTCTATAATTTTTTAATATACAAATTACAAGATAAAATGGATTAAAAAAGTGTATTGGATGGTGTACAAAAATGAAAGTGAACAAATATAGTGGGACGGAGGAAGTAACAAAAATGGCAAAGAAAGAAAGATAGAAATTGACTTTTAGAAGTAAATAAGTCAAGTAGAAACAACTTGAGCGAATATGTTGTTACCCAACTCCAATATACGGAGTAATATTTAAAGAGTAAAGTGCACTGTTTACCCCGTACTCTTTAGAAATTGCATGCTTTACCCCTAAACTTTAAAAAGTGCACCGTACCGTTTACCCTCGAAGTCTTCAAAAATTACACGATTTACCCCTGCACACTAAAGAATGCACCAAATACCCTTGAACAAATTAAATCGTTGCATCGTTGGTCCTAAACTATTAGATAGGGAGTGCGTTGCTTCCACGCACAAGAATTGCGAATATGATTTATCTGGCACTTGTGAATTCTCCAAAGTACCTTTCCCTAAAATTTTCGTCTTTATTTAAATGTTCAGGAGTAAATAGTATAATTTTCAAAGAGTTCAGGAGTATTGGGTGCAACTTTTATTGTTCAGGGGTAAACCGTGCAATTTCTGAAGAATTCAGGGGTATTTGGTGCACTTTTTAATGTTCGTGGGTAAACCGTGCAATTTTCAAAGAATTCGGGGGTAAACTGTGCACTTTTCTCAATATTAAATAACTACTCCCTCCGTCCCAGTATATTTGTCCAGTTTGACTTTTTCGAGTCAAATTGGACAAACTTTGAGCTTCAAATAAATAAAAATCGTAATGTATTTTAACATAAAAATGACTTTATTAGATTTATCGTATTGAGAACTTTCAAAATTGTATTTCATTATGCTAATATGCAATATAAATTGAGAGTAATTGGAGTTTAAAGTTTATCCAGTTTGACTCGAAAAAGTCAAACTGGACAAATACACTGGGACGAAGGTAGTATAATATAAAATTTACAAGACAATAGATGTATAACTATATTTTTTAAATCGAATGAGTAACAAAAAACCAAAACACCTATATCTATTCTTTTTAACTTTTTAAGTGATCCATTTCATTTCACGATGTTTTAATCTTAGGTAAAATTTACATTAATACTCCA